TCCCAGATTGTGAGGAACCAACTTGGAAACAGAAAGAGCCTCATTTAAAGCCCTTCAGAACAGCTGGATGGGGCCCGATGGAGCTGGATCCAAGCTGGAATTAATGATTTCCATCAAGTCCAGTAAGTGCTTGGTGGGAACAGGAGGGTTCTGGGATCTGCAAGAGAGCGATCCAGCCTGGAGTGGGAAGCCCATATTCCATGTGGGCCATGTTGGTGAGGGAAGGAAGTATTTGGGGCGACTTGATGGGTCTGGAATTCATTGGTTAGGGAAGTGAACTGTCTGTTATCCTGCAGAGTGAAAAAGCAGGATGCAGCATCCATGCTGTGCCCTCAGGACAGGAGTCTCCAGCACCTGGGCAAGGTGACCTGGATGTGCTCTCAGGGAGAAGGGAAGCGCCTCTGCTCCAGAGCAGAAAATCACTCCCGAGGAAAAGCTGCTGTGGGAGCTGCCAGGGCACAAAGCTCCTTTGGTTTCGGTGTGCCATATGCATTTCCCAAGAAGTTGAGCTGGGGTCTGGCAGGCCTGGGCTTGGACTTCCCAGCGGGACAGCAGGTTGGGACTGGGGCATTCCCGGGAAACATGGTGAAATGTCAGCCAGGGAAAGGGATCCTCAAAGGGGCAGCATTCCAGGACATGGTGCTGGATTTCTATGGAACAGCAAAGGGCTCTGTCCTTTAGCGATGCTTGCAACTGCCCACTGAGACCTACAAATCCAATTTTTTTTGGGAATTCTGTAGCCCTGAGCAGTGCAAGCAAACATCTGACTTGTTTTGAGGGAATTTCCTTGGGTGAGTCACAGTAGAGGACTCTGGAATTTGCAGAGGCCAGCTGGAAGAGGGTGCTGGCAGAGATGAGATGGGATTGCTTTGTCATACCTGGGTCTTGTGAAAGTGCCATCAGGTGCCTGAAGGAAAAGGTAGGGAAGGAATATTGGGATAGCAGGGCTTCCTCCATGTAGACATCCCCAGGGATCTGGCAGAGGGAGAAAAAACTCCCAGCAGATCCAATTTCAGCCTGGCTTGGCCTCCCATCTTTTGCTCTGAAAAGCAGGAGGTTTGGAACCAGGGGGGTTTTGGGGAGATGGAAGTGGGAATGTTGAGGTAGCCTGTGGATGCAGGGATGGGGAATTGCAGGGGGTTGTGAACCTCTGGATGCAGGGATGGGGATTTTTCAGGGATGGGGAATTACAGAGGTTTATGAACCTTTGGATATAGGGATGGGGAATTGTGGGGGGGTTGTGATTGTGAGCCTGTGGATTCAGGGATGAGGATTGCAGGGGGTTGGAGCAGTGGGCTGTGTGGGTGCCTCGGGAATCTGCGATTCTGGGAGCTTGGAGCAAATCCTGCCTGGATTTGGGTGGAGGGAGTGGGTGACTCCGGGGGTGTTGCTGTGGTGTGGGTGGGCTCTTGGCATGCAGTATCCAGGCACAGCCTGTTTCCTTCAGCTTTATTTCCTGGTGTACTTCTCCCTAAGGAGGCTCCTGTCAGATGGGATGGGCTGTTGGATTAGCCTAAGTCTCCGAGGTTTAGCTGGAATGTTGTCTCACTGTAGCATTTTTCTCCCTTGCTCTTTTCTCTAAGCCTTTCCCTACAGACAGCTAATTCTCCCCTTCCCCCACATCCTGTCATAGCCCAGAGCTTGTCACAAGGAATTAACGGCTGGAAAGGCCGGGAGAGGCTCCTCTGGAACAGTCTCTCCTTTCTGTGCCCGGGTGGCCCCCTCTGTGTGTCCCTTTTGTGTCCCATCCAAGTCCCCTCCCCCTGGCCATTCACTGGAGAGTCCATGGCCAGGAGCCTTTCCCAGCCCGATGCCGTGGCCGTGTCCGAGGGCTCCCGGCAGCATTCCCGGCTTCTCGGTGGGAAGAGGGAGGAGGTTTGTGCCGCTCCAGGGTTTTCCTCCTCTCCCGGCTCCGCATCTCTGACAGCATCGCCCGCTCTCGCTCCCAGTCCTTCCCACAATCCACGTACAATCTCCTCAGAATAGGGATGATGTCACTTCCTTCCAGAGGGTGCTGGGGGGTGTGGAAGGGGGGAGTCACGACCTCTGGCTCTCGGCATTCCCGGTGGATAAATGAGGTGCAGGGAGGGAGTAGCTCTGAGGATGATGCCCGGGTCTGTCAGCAGGCAGATCCCAGTTCCCACGCCATGCTTCCCTTTTCCGAGTGGGATATTCAATGGCTGCAGGAAGAGTTTGCTGTTCCCTCCTGAGCTTGTGATGCCTGTCTCCCTGGATATTCACTTTTCCTGAAATACCCTTCTGGGAGAGAAGGATGCGCAGCGGCTGGACCACATGCCATGTAAGATTCCTGCTTCCTTAGATCTTGCCCGGCTCCGAGGGGACTCCTTGTGCATGTGCTTGCCTTATTTCAGTGTTGGGAGCTCGGGGCTGCTCATTACTGGGATTCAGCTTTCAAGATCCTGGGAATGTTTGGCTCTTCCCAGCAGTTTGAGGGGCAGTGTGAGGGTTCTTGCTGTCACAGAGCCGGGGTCAGTGGTCTCAGGGCTGTTTGCACTCCAACCTTCCGGTTCCTCCGAATTCCTCTGTTGGATCATATCTTCAGCATCTTAAAACACGGTTCCTGGGATATGCTGTGCTGGGATAAAGCTGAGGAGTCCTCACAAGAGCTTTTTCTGGTCGGTTTTCCAGTCTCAGGCCTTCCGTCATCTCCCTCCTTTCCAAAGCAGGGGAAAGCCCTAACCTCCTGGTTTAAATTCAGGAGTCTTTGGGAATTAACTGGGAATGTTCCTGCCCTGGGAGCTTGGTAAGTGGAGTGTCAGTTCCACAGTCAGTATTCCCATATGTGACAGCGAGTGACAGGCTTCTCCGCTCTGTCCCCATCTGTTGCTGTGGATAAGGAATCCACGTTGGATATTTGTTGCCGTTGTTGATATCTGCTTCTCAAACTGGGAGAGAGTGGTGGGAACTGGGAGAGCCCAACTGGAGGGGTGGAAGAGTTCCGGAAAGTGCGTTGGTGGGATGCAGCCGAGGGATGACGGGAACGGAGCTGGGCTGGGAAGTGCTGTCCAAAGGCAGCGAGAGAGCAGGAGGTGTATCCAGGGTTTGTGATATCCCAGCTATTCCGGGTGGTGAATGACAGGCACGATGGGGCTGGGAGGGAGTCTCCAGATGGCCAGAGAAGTGAAGGTAGAGCTGGAATGTACCCAGTGCTCTTTGCTGAGGAAGTGAGAATCCAAATGGCATGTGAATTTTGCATTTGCTTTGTTTGTGGAATGGAGCGTTTCCTTCAACTGAGTGATGGGCTGGAAGCAGCCTGTTAACTATGGAATCTCCTGGAATTTGAGGGAATTGTGTAGGTTTTCAGTAATGGGTGGCTGAAAGAGGTTGGAAGATCCATTCCAGTGGCCGTGGGTGTTGGCACAAGAGAGGAGACACTGGATTTGGGATGTTCTGGGAAGTGGTGGGGTAACCACACCTGACTGCTGGGTTGGAGTTAGTGGGACAGGGCAGGAATTGGTGCCATGGGCTGTCCCAAACCCAACATTTGTGTTACCTGGAAGGTTCAACTTGGTTTAAATCATGAGCAACCTGGACTGGTGGGAGGTGTCCCAATCCATGATGGGGAGGTAGAACTGGATCACCTTCAAGCTCCCTTCCTATCCAAACTATGCTGGAATTCTATGGATGTCTTCCACTTTCTAATTTGTTTTACCCACAGCACTAAATTAGGGGTATCATATCCAAGTGTGGGGTTTTTTTTGCCTGATACAGGAAATATTGCAGGTGATATTCCCTTGGGAATGCTGTTGGAAATCCTGTTGTAAGTAATGGATGAGGACACTTTGTCCTGACCAGGTAGTTTGCTGTTGGGTTCACAGAGGCAAAAATCCAAGAGCACTTAGAGATTTGCAAGTGCAGCTTTGGAACAGTATGGCCACCGCAAGCCGTGGATGGAGCACTCCAGCAGCAGTGCATGGATGTGGGAATTGGGAGGTTGGGGGGGTTTGGAACTGAGATGGATGAGTTGGGAGAGTTTGGAGCAGAGAGGCCCAAGTGAGATGTAGCATTCTCTGGTGGCACAGGTAAAAGGTGGGACAGGGTTTGGGGCATGGAAAGAAGGACAGGACTGGTGCCACAATCCAGAAATCCCTGGTGGCTGTGGGTAGATTGCAAAGATGCCTTCCCAGATTTGGCAAAACCGGGGAAAATTCCTGGTTGTGGGTCGTGTGTTGGGCCAGGAAGGCAGGAGATGAGGTGTGCTGCCAGAGTCCCTCTGGAGCAGCTTGGAGTACGGCCAGCTGGGATGGAGTGGGATGGCTGTGCTGGAGGAGGCTGGAGCACCCTGTGCAGTCTCGTGAATTTGTACCGCTCCTGTTTCTATTTTCCAAAGGGTTTGGGAAGCCCTAAAAATAGGAGCACAAACAAAACCCAGGGAGGAACAGCAGCTCCTCAATCTTCCACCTTGGAATTGGTTGTGCCTGTTAAGGCTGGTGTGGGTGCGACGGAGATGTGGAGCTGGCAGGATTCTCCTGCTGGTCCAGGGGGAGATCTCCTAGGAGCCAATATCCTCACTGGAAGTGCTGTTGGGAGCCAGTCCATAGTTCCCCAGATGCTGCCACTGACTGTTAATGGATATTTTGGCTTCCTGAGCCAAATGGGGGGGGATTGTTGAACAACAAGATTCTGGCAGCAGGTTTGTCCATGGAAAAACACAGTTAATAGGGTTTTCCAGAGATTTGTGGCCAGGATGACCTGTCCCAAATCCCACGGTGGCTGCTCACCATCACAGCCTAACAGGATTCCAGGTAATCCCATGAAGTGGAGCTGGATGAGTTTCACACCAGCTTCACCTAATACTTCCCACTCCTTCAACTCCTGGCCTTCCTTTCCGAGCATGCTGTGCCCCCTGGTGCCAGAAGGAAGCAGCTCTGGGATAAACCAGGATGGCTCCCAGGTGGATGTGGGGCTCTCCAGAGGGGGCTGGAGAGGCTCAGCAGCAGCTTTGCTTCCATTCTTTTCCAGGAGGTGAGTACTGTGCCTGCTGAATTTCCCTGGACCCGCCAGCCATGCCAGGGATTGTCGTGTTCCGCCGGCGCTGGTCTGTGGGCAGCGATGACCTGGTTCTGCCAGCCGTCTTCCTCTTCCTCCTTCACACCACCTGGTAAGTGAGAAGGGCATAGGGATGCTTGGAATTCGACCAGGAATTCTTCTGGCTATTCCTGGCACGGCTGCCAGGAATTCTTCTGCACTTCTGTACGGGGTGGAAAGTTTGGTTGGGGCATTCCTGATGGACACCAACATTTTTCCAGCTTCTGTTTTTGTAGTTAAGCTCTGTTCCAAGTTCTAGCCTAGTTCCAAAGAGCCTGACCAGAGCTCCTTGTTATCCTCCTGTGCCACCCCAGTTTCTCCACTGGAATTTACGACTGTGTTTCTGTACAGAGGCTCAGGAAAAACAAGCATGGAATCCTGGAATAGTTTGGGTTGGAAGAGACTTTAAAGACCATCCAGTTCCGACCCCCTGCCATGGGATGGGACAGCTAGATCCCACTAGATTGTTCCAAGCCCCATCCAACTTGGCTTGAACACTTCCAAGGGATGTGGCAGCCAAAATTTCTCTGGAATGGCAAATCCCATGGGATAATGTGGCACAGGATTAAATGGTTCTGATGAGGGTAGCAGGGCCTCCGGATGGCTTGTGGGGATTTGGGGCCCAAATGAAGATTACAGTAAGGAGCTGTGGGACACTGAGGAGGGAAGCAGCTGTGGGCTATTCCATGGTTTCCCTTGGCTTTCCTGCCCCGCAGGTTTGTGATCCTTTCGGTGGTGCTCTTTGGGCTGGTGTACAATCCCAACGAGACGTGCTCCCTGAACCTGGTGGACCACGGCCGGGGCTACCTGGGAATCCTGCTGAGCTGCATGATCGCCGAGCTGGCCATCATCTGGCTCAGCATGCGCGGGAGCATCCTGTACACGGAGCCACGGGATTCCATGCAGTACGTCCTCTATGTCCGACTGGGTAAGCGGCCAGAGCCTCCGCGCTTCCGTGTGCTCTTCCCTGCAGCCTCCTCTCCCTGCCCAGCACGGCTCCCCTGGCACGGCCAGATGGCTGCCGGGATGTGCCGTGCATCCCGATGAATCCATGGGCTGCGCCTCGTCGCGGCTGTCAGACTGGCGGGTGATGTCCCAAATAGCCTCCTTTTCCTCTCATGGAATCTGCTTCCCTTCTGTCTCTCTTTTCCCCCCTGCATTTTCCAAGGATAGAGGTGTAAATCCCAAAGGTTCTGACCCCGAGGTGTTGCCTCTTGACTCACCTGATCCGTCCCTCCAGGCGCTGGGAGGAAAATAGGCTTTCCACCTGCTCACTCCCTTTTTTCTTCCTGTAAGCAATTCCTGTCTTGCTCCCTCTCCAAAAACTAGAGCAGGAAAAAGATTATTCCTTGATCCCTCATTCCCTTTTAGCTTGTTTTCCCTGGGTTCTGTTGCCTTCCAGGTATAGAAATTTAATCAGATTTTTCTGTGCCGAATGAAGAGAAAAATATTTGGAGATGCAGTGCCAAACCCGTTCCAAACAAATCATCCCGTGGGTTTGCATCTCTGCTTTTTGCTGGGTTGTTTTCCTGCAGAATCCACTAAAATAGGGATAACCTTGCTTGAAAGCTCAGTGTGGAAGACTTGGAATGCTCAGTGCAAGTCATTAACGCGAACAGCAAACAAATCTCCCTCTCCAGCTTCCCAGCCAGTCTCCCTAGGGAAGCATGGAGAGCCTGGCAGTTTCTGTTAAAACCAGACTAAGTGGGGCAGGGGAGGTAGGGAGACTCCAAAGAAAGGTTTTCCTGCCCCCCAAAATGTCCCTTCTTCTTCATTAAACTCTCTGTGTGCTCAGGAGTGGGATTTTCTCTGGATTTTGGGTCTTGTATTCCCTCTTTCCTGGCTTTTTTGCTCCTGGAGGTTGATCAGTTGTGCTGATGGAAGTGGGAGCGTGACCAGTGCGTGGGCAAGGTCCATGTGACTGTCCCAATTTAAGCATGTGCTGTTTAATGCAGAGGAATTCAGGGAGTTAAATCCAATGTGAACCTGGGAATGTCTCATCCTTGCTCCTGCTGCTCCTGTCCTGCAGCAGGCAAAGGGGAGAGGAGCCAAGGGAAGCATAACCTAACTCAGGCATAAATTGGGTTCATCAGGAGCTAGTCCCAGCCCTGATTCCTTGCCCAGGAAAGCTCTGTCTCCTGGAACTGGTCTTTCCAGGTCTGTAGCAAAGCCACTTATGGAAAGATTGTGTGCCAGCAGGAGATAAGGAGGGTGAGTGGGATAAGCCAGGCTGGATTTCGTCTCAGTTCCACAAAAATTTAGGCAATCTCAAACAAGGTATTCACCTTCTCCACACCTGATGCCCACGTGTCCTCTGGAATTCTGGGGAGAAAGTGGGAGGATGGGCACTTTAGAGCAGTTTTCCAGCTTTTTTCTTGCAGTTAATCCCCAGTTTCTTAGTTTGCTGTCAGAGTCACGTGCAAAGCTGAGGAGCTCCTTGAGCGCTGTCTCTTTGGAACTGTTATGGGAAGGGCTGAAAAGGTGCTGACAATGTTTGCTAAGCGTAGTGAGCAGGATTAATCCTGGATCCACACGATTTATTTTAGATCCGTGAGTCAGGCCAGCTGTCTGAGGTAGTTAAGGTTTGGGTCCTGTCATTCCTGCTGCCTCAGGAAGTCTTTCCAGCAGCGTGGGAGGAAGGTCTGGATCTCTGATTCATACCTGTGACACAACCAGGGGCGCTGACCCCTCCACGATCCCATTTGTTTGGAACACATCACACTTTTGGCTCATCTCCTTACATGTCCCCTTCTGAAGTGTTTTTATACCTATTCCCTGCGAGAAAATGGGGAGAGGAGCTCGTCCTTAGGGAAAAGACTGCTGTTATCCGTGCTGTTCCCGTTTTTTCCAGCGATCCTGGTGATCGAGTTCGTGTACGCCATCGTGGGCATCGTGTGGCTGACACAGTACTACACCTCCTGCAACGACATCACAGCCAAGAGTGTCACCCTGGGTACGGAGCTGGAATGCGGCCTGGGTGCATTCCGACGGATTGGCGGGCATCCTTCATTCCCGCCTGTGCCAATTGACTCTGGGAAGTGGATGGGAGCTGTCAATGTGGGGCTTGTTTTCCTGTTTATTGCTCAGAACAGTCCTTCCATTCATCAGCCTGTGCTGCCAGCACTCAGGCAGGGATCCGTGTTCCTAGGGAAGGGCAGTCTGTAAATTCCGCTTTTTCCCTTCAGAATGGCTTTACTGTTTTCCTGGAAGCCTTTCCCAGTCTCCTGGTGGGGATGATGTTAATGCTGCAGTCCCGGATACTCAGGGAGCATTTAATGGCCCCATAAAACAGCCGGAAGACTCATCCAGCTGTGGCTTAAAAGCCTTTCCAGAGGATTTCCTTTTGCTGTGGGAGTTTGGGGTGGGAAGTAAAGGCTGGAGCACCTGACTCCTGTTTTTTTTCCTTCAGGAATGGTGGTGTGCAACTGGGTGGTGATCCTGAGTGTGTGCATCACCGTGCTGTGTGTCTTCGATCCCACGGGACGCACCTTTGTCAAGCTCCGCGCCACCAAGCGCCGGCAGCGCAACCTAAGGACCTACAACCTCAGGTGAGGCAGCATTCCATGGGATCCCGGAATTCCAGGTGCCTTGGGTGGAAGGGAGCTTAAAGATCATCCAATTCCAGCCCCCTGTCATGTGCAGGCATGCCTTCCACTAGACAAGGTAGCTCGAACCTGGCCCTGGATGCTTCTAGGGATGGGGCAGCCACAGCTTCTCTGGGAAATCCGTTCCAGGGCTTCAGCACCCTCACAGAGATGCATCTCTTCCCAATATCCCATCTATCCCTGCCCTCTATCAGTGGGAAGCCATTTCCTGTTGTCCTGTCCCTCCAGCCCCTTGTCCAAAGTCCCTCTCCAGCTCTCTTGGATGCACTTCAGGCACTTTAAGATCTCTCTGGAGCCTTCCAGTGTGAACATTCCCAGCTCTCCCAGCCTGTCTTCAAAGCAGGCAGAATTTCCCTTCTATCCAGGGACACATACATTTAAGGAAAGAACCAGTGGAGGGTTTCAGGGTTAACAATGCCATAGCCTCATGGCTACAGGCACCCAAAATCCTCCCAGAGCCAGGGAATTCCAGGATGGTTTGGGTTGGAAGGGATCTTAAAGCCTTTTAAGTCACGGGCAGGGACACCTTCCACTATACCAGATTGTTCCAAGCTCTGTCCAAGCTGTCCTGGAACACTTCCAGGGATGGGGCAGCCACAGCTTCCAAGGCCAAGGTTTCTGGACAGGTGTCCTGCTTTTTTGAGATCTTGCCCTTCTCCTTGCCTTGCTGCAGGGAGCATTCTGCTCTGCTGAGGGGAATTTTGGGAGGATGCAGCTCCCTGTCAGGTGCTGTGTGTGCACCTGCAGCCAGAGGAGGCAAAGCCATGCAGAATCCAGCTGGATTCTGCCTTGATTACTGTATTTGTGGATCTTCGTGGACCCTGCTGACCACAACAACCTATTAGTCCATATTCCATAGCAGCATTTTCCATGGAAACAATGAGTCTGTGCTTAAATTTTCCTTACTTTGAGGCAGCATCTCCTTGCAAATCCCTTTTCTTCCTTTCCAAAATCCAACCTTTTGCCCGGAGGTTTCTCCTCCTTAGTCTTGGCCAACGAACAATTTCCTTTGTGTTGGCAGTTGGATCTTTTAATTAAGAATTGATTCCATCTTGGAGCTCCCCAGATGGGGAGAGAAAAAGCTTTTTTTCACCAAGCAGAGCTTTTTCTAAAGGATTTTTTTCCAGTAGGGGACAACACAAACAGGCTTTGTTTCCTTTGATATGTGACTGTCCTTGAGGAATGTGGCTTTGGAGGGCATCAGGATCCGAGGGATAAAAAAATGAGGCTTTCAAAAAACACTCCCGTTTTTCATTGGGTTTGTGTATTTTGTGTATTCCAATGACTTGGAATGGGGTCCCTTTTGAGGGAAAACTAGGCTTGTCTAAGGATAGTGTGTCAGGTTCTGTGGGAAGGAGCCTGGGTTTTATTGTGGAATGCCAGATGTTCCTCCTGACCTTTCCAGTATGTTACAGTAGCCTGGAATATTTGGAATTAGTGCCTAGCGTGGTGATTGCTGCTTGGGATCAGGGCATTCCCAGGAAGATAAGAAGGATAATACTGTGGATGTATTACTGCATCCAAGGAAAAAATTCTTCCCTGTGGGAGTGGTGAGGCATTGGAATGGTTTTCACAGAGCAGCTGTGGCTACTTCATCCCTGGAAATGTCCAAGGCTGGATGGGGCTTGGAGCAATCTGGGATTGTGGGAGCTGTCCCTGCCCATGACAGGGGGTGGAACTGGACGAGCTTTGTGGTCCCTTCCATCCCAAACCATTCCGGAATTCTGTGCTAATTTTAACAAAGCAAATCTGAGCTCCACAGCTTGCAAAAGTAAATTCAAACCAACCCCAGAACTATCTCCTCTGGGGCGAATTTTGAGATTCCAGAAAGCCGACTGAAGGCCTTTCTCCCTTGGCCGGGTTTTTCCCTCCAGGCCTGCAACATTTATGGAGAGTTTGTTCCTGCTGTTCATGGATTTTCTCTCTGGAAAGGGAATGTTAACAGCTGTTAACAAGCAAACGCTGTGGGCTATGATGTGAAAAAACAAACATCAAATTTGACTGTTCACTGCTCAAACAATTGTTTCCAAAGGATATATTCCCAACTTCTCCCTCTTGCTGAAAGAAATCCTGTCCAAGGAATAGATGAGGAAGTTCTCTGCCTGGCTGGATTGTGTCCCATGGTGGTTTTCCTTTCCTAGTGGCATCGTAGTGTGTGTGGACTGGGAAAAAGAAACAACCCAATAAAAGGCTTGGCTTGTTGTGCCAAGGTTTTTCCAAGGAGCTTTGGAGTTCCTACTGAATGTGTGGAAGTTTGGCGTTAGGAAGAAAGAATTTGGGAAAAGATGGAGGGGAAAATAGCTCAGAGTACACTTGGTTGTTGAACCTCACCAGGGAAATTCTGGAGTTCTTTTGAACCTGGGGGAGCAAAGCCCTGCTGCCAGTCATATTCCCATTCCTCTTCTGAAAGGTTATGGAATGCTGTTTCAGAGGACTCAGGCAGGAGCTGATGGATGCCTGGGGGATCTGCTCCTTACATTTCCAGCAAATATTCCTTTACCAGCATCTTTTCCTTCCAGCTGCTTGCAGCTTTTCTGGGCTTGGGCTTATCCTGATGGAATACCCTGCCAGAAAATGGAGTGGTGTTTTATTTTGGATTGCTCTGACCTGGATTAAATCTGTGTTTCCTTTAAAAAAAAAAAAAAGAGCTGTGGACTTCAGGGAGCTTGGCACTTTGGCACAGAATCAGTCCCTACTTCCATAGCAAGGGGTGGAACACAATGATCCTAAAAGTCCCTTCCAATCCAAAGCATTCCATGATTCTGTGACTGGGAAAAATTGCATGTCTGAAATGCTCAGGGTCTCTTGTACCATTCCCACTCCCTCATCCTGAGGTAGATTTTTTCCTCCTGAGTGGTTGCACATCCTGGCACATGGAGCAGCTGCCAGATTGCAACAGGAGCTTCATTCCATGCATCCCATTCAGGCAGGATACCAGGTATCCAAACACAGTGCTTGATCCTGTGGATTCACACTTCTCTGGAGCATATCCAGGGAAGGGAACAGAGCTGTGGGAGGAGGTGTGGAGCACCAGGGGTGGCTGAGGGAGCTGAGGGGGCTCAACCTGGGGGAAAGGAGGATTGGGAGAACCTTATTCCGTTTTTCCAGGGACAACACAGGCTGTGCCACTCCATGTTGGATCCTACACCATGTTCTGCCTCTCCTCACATTCCTACTCTCCCTTTTATTCCCAGACACCGCCTGGAAGAGGGACAAGCCAGCAGCTGGACACGCAGGCTCAAAGTGTTCCTTTGCTGCACACGGACAAAGGACTCACAGTCGGTGGGTACCAAAAATCTCCTGTTGGAAATCAAAATACCAGTGGGAGAAATCCCTGTTTTCCCTCAGCTTAGGATCACATTTGGCAGCAATTCCTGGGCAGCTCCCGTTTCCCTTTATCAGCCCTTTCCTCAGCATTTTCTCCTGTTGTTTCCATCAGTCTCGCACCCTTAAGGAGGAGAGTTTGGAAATGGGAAAACAAAAACCTGGAAGAATCACCAAAATCCTTCTGGATTTCCTGATGGTCAAAAACTGTTTAATCCATAGATCCATGTGAAGATCGTTGGGAATTTTCATGTGCTGCCATTGGGATTTTCCCTTGCTGTTCTTTAGAAGGGAAGGGTAAGGGCCTTGAAATTCCTTCCCCAAAAGTTTTCATTCCATTCTCCTTAGAATCACTGGGAGCAGGTTGGTGGCTGAGGGTGGGACTCACCAGCATTCCTGAGAATCTGCCGGAGAGGCAGGTCAAAATTTGGCACTGGAAAACTTTGCTTTTGATTTAACGAATTTGGTCAGAATTCTGAGGATTTGAGGACTCCTGAAGGAGCCAGCAGAAGCAGGGAATTGTTCCCAAAGGTATAAGAAAGTCATAAAAATCAGGAGATTTGTGCACTTGCAGACACTGAGCTCTGAATTAGTTACAACCTCTCAGGGAAAAAAGCTGGGATTTATCAAGGACATTCCAACAAAACCAGCAGTGGCCAAAAAATCCGCCCAGACGTTTAACTCCAGTTAGAAGGGCACGGAAAATGACAGGGAAAACACCAAGGGACCGACCACAGCCGCCGTGTCCTCACTAAATATAGCCCAGAGTTCGTGCTCCAAAAGGATGCAGCGGGAAAAGGAGCACATTGGAAGGGATGTGAACGTGGAGAGGAAGAGAAATGAGGCTGGGATTGAAATCTCCAAAGGGAAAGTGGAAAAATAAAGGAGAGTCAGGTGAACGTTTGTTCTTCCCAGGTGATGAATTGAATTAACAGCATTTCTTAGGGAGTGCTGTGGAATAATCCACAGGTGCAGCTCGCAGAGTGTGGAAGGTTGCAGGAATTGTCACAGCTCTTGTGCAGAAATCCAGCACCGTGTCCTGGAATGCTGCCCCTTCGAGGATCCCTTTCCCTGGCTGAAATGCTACCATGTTCCCCAGGAATGTCCCTCTGGGAAGTTCAAGCCCAGGCCTGCCAGCTCCCAGCTTATCTGCCGGGAAAATCCATCTGGTAATCCATCTGGAAAACCGAAACCAAAGGAGCTTTGTGCCCTGGCAGCTCCCACAGCAGCTTTTCCTTGGTGCTCCAGAGCCGCTTGGTGCTCCACAGCGCTTCCCTTCTCCCTGAGAGCACATCCAGGTCACCTTGCCCAGGTGCTGGAGACTCCTGTCCTGAGGGCACAGCATGGATGCTGCATCCTTGCCCTGAACAGCTCCCATTTCATTGAGGATTGCAAACTATTCCAAATATTTCGAGTTCTTTTTAACAAACTTTCCGTTCTGCAGTGACCGTTTCTCTTTTTTTTTAAGCTTGGAATAAAAGTGGATGCCAGATGCCTCACATTCCTCGTGCTGTTGAATTTCCACTTTACATCTAGCTTTTGAGCAATTTCCAGCCTCTTTTCTCTGCAGGAACAAGCCCTGACGTTGTGTCCTGGCATGGCAGCGTGTGGAATGAATGAGCACGTAATGGATCAGAAATGAATCCATTGCTGCCTATCCCAGACTCCATGGAAAAAAAAAAGGTTTAGCAGCAGAGGATCATTGTCCTCTGGGCTTGAAAAGTGTTTTATGGGATGGACATGGCTTTGGGGAAAGGAACTGGGGTGAAGTCTGAAGGCTCAGAGCCTTCAGGGTTTGTAGCAGAGAGCACTTCAGGTGGACAAACAGGAATAATGTCAGGTGTTCCCACAAAAAGCTGTTCCTTTGGAGCGGAAAATTCACACTGAACTTCCATCAGGGCCTTTTTTTGTCAGAGCATCCAGGGCTGTAGCTGCCACTTTGGATTAATGGGTGTTTGTCCTGTTTCCTTTGGAGGCTCTTGGCATTTCTTGTGAGCTCACAGGAGCCATGCTAGGATTGATGAGGTCAGGATTTCAAGGATACTGCGGTTGGAATGCCGTTGGCTTTCCAAAGGCACTGCTGGCACGGAGAGTTGGCACCTGGAGCCCCAGTTCTTAATGGGGATTTAACTGGCTTTTGTAGGGAAGTGAAAAATGACAGAAAGTCATCCCACACGCCAGGAGTTTGGCAGGGATAAAAGGATGTAGGTCACTCCTGCAGGGAAGAGAAGGGTTTTACTGTCTTGATGGTCAAAGAAGGGAGAGGAGAAATCCCGTCCTGGAGTGCTCGGGGTTTCCACAGCACTCCAGTCTTGTGGGTTTTGATGCTGGATAAAGGATACTATGAAAACACGGGATAAAGGTTCCAGCTAAGGCTTTGATCATCCTTGTAGGAAAAGTTTTGGATGTCAGGAGTCGAATATGGACCATTGGTGGGTACAGCTCCACGTTTTGTTGCTCCAGCCTCTGGATCACCCTTGTCCTTAGGCCGGAGTAGTGACAGGTCAGCACTGACCCACATTCCAGCCCCTCTCCACCCTCCCAAAATATTCTCCTGTAAGGTCTTGTGGGCTTTTTCCCTGTAGCTTAGAGCAAAAAGCGGGAAAAGGACATTTCTCCTCAAAATATCATTGTCCCTCTGCTCCAGACCTTTTGCTTGACCCTCTCAGGTCACTTCCATTTCTGTCCCTCCTTTTTTGGGTTCGGTCACCTTTCCTGGGAATTCTGCATTCAGTGACTCAGTTTTTACTTTTCATGCCTTTTTGCTCGGGTGTTGTCCCAAATAAACCTGGAAAAGCCTGGCAATATGGACAAAAGGATCCCAGGTATGGGATAAGTTTGGAGAAGTTAAATTTGGGCAGTAGGATCCCAGGTCTGGAATAAGCACAGGCAAGATAAATGTTAGCAAAAGGGTCCCAGGTCTGGGGTAAAGTTGGGGAAAGGTTCCTGGGTTTGGGTTAAATTTGGGCAAGAGGATCTCAGGTCTGGGATGAATATGGGTAAAAGAATCCCAGGGCAAAGTTGGAGTTGAAGAGACTCTTAAGTAGGACAAAATTAGTGCTTTCTCCTCATGGAATGGCCTTTATTTAGAGGAGAAAGGATGACTCCGAGGTTGTACTGGATTGGGATTTGCTAGGTTTTCATCCCATTTTCTCTATTTTGTGTAATAGAGAGAGCCAAAACCATTCCCTTTCCCTCCCTTTGTCCTGTGTGAGCTGTTTGGATGTTGAGGTGCCCACACACAGCACAAATCCAGCCCCCAAGTGGGACTGTGGAAAAGAAAGAGACAATAATCATGTGATTAGTCCAGATCTGGCATTCCCTGCAGGAATCTCATGGCTGTTTTGGAGGCAGAGCTCCAGGAACAAGTCCAGTTCTCACTTTGTGTCCTGTTCTGAGGCTTCCCACACCCAAACTCCTCCTCCTCCTCCTCCAACCCCTCTCTCCCTGGATTTTGCAGGACGCCTACTCTGAGATCGCCTACCTTTTTGCGGAATTTTTCCGTGACCTGGACATCGTCCCCTCTGACATCATCGCAGGGCTGGTTCTCCTGCGGCAGCGGCAGCGGGCCAAGCGCAGCGCCGTGCTGGATGAGGTGGGAAAACCTGGGAATCTCGGCTTCCCAGCTGCTCCAGGATTCCCTGGGAAACAGCTGCATGGCTCTGCCCACCTCATTTCTGGGCTGTTCTCGCTTGCTGAGGTGGGAAAGGAAAATAATGGTGACTTCAGCAGCTTTTCTTGAGTGGTTTTTCCATCTCAAAGGGGCTCAGCTGGTGCTGAATCAAGTCCGGAATCTGGAATGATCTTCTCCAGGCAGGTGATACAGGGGGAGCTTTTGATCCCAAAAGGGCCTCCAAGGGGGTTGTAGGTACTTGGAAGTGAATGGGAAGATTATTCCCACTGTACAGTGATGTGGAGAAGAATTCAGCAATCTGCAGGAGGAAAAATTCCCCACTTTCTAAGCCGTTATTGAGGTTTGCAGATTGTCCAGCCAATAGGAAACTTACTTATTTTATTAGGGCTTTTCCCTTGATTTGGGATTCAGGCTGCAGAAGGAAAAAATTCTGAGTTTTCCAAGCTGCTTTTGAGGTTTGCAGATTGTCAGCCCAGTAGGAAATTGATTTATTCTAATGGCTTTTTCCCCCCTTGAGTAGGGATTCAAATCAGGCAGAAATAAAACCACTAGAACTATTTGAGGGTCCTGGTTGGGATATTTGGGAGTGGATTTTTGTCTTCCTGTCACACAGAAGAATTTTTCTGTGTATTTGTGACTTCCAGGCAAACAATGACATTTTAGCTTTCCTGTCTGGAATGCCAGTGACCAGGAACACCAAATACCTGGATCTGAAGAATGCGGTAAGTCTCTGGGATGTGGGATCCTCCAAACCCACCTGTGACCCTTGTTTTCTTCACTGGCTTCTCTTATGCTTTTCTGCCCCTCTTTGAAGTAATCCAAGAAACTCCATGAGAATGGAATAAAACTTCATCTCTGGAGGCTTGATGAGGTTATACTGCTGCAAGAAAGTCAGCATTGTTATCCCTGGTTTATTCCAGATTTTGATTCATCCCTGGTTTTGGTTTATCTCAAATTTATCTCTGGTTTAGATTTGTCTGATTTACCCCGATTGATTTTGATTTATTCCTGATTTAGATTTTCCAGCCCAATTTTCCCATCTCATTTTCCCACCAAGTTTCGCCCCTGCTATTTTCCCCCTCAGCTCTTCCGCTGATTTATCTCTGATTTCTCCCTCATGTTTTCCTGGTTTTCCCCTCTGGTTATCCTGCCATGTTTAACTCCAACCCCCAATCCAGCTCTCCAGGATAATCGAGGTTTTATAGGGTGCAGCCACAGCACATGGCCCTAAATTGGCTTTGTGGGCCTCTCCAGGCATCCTCCAGCCTGCTGGAAAGGGGATATTTAGGGAGCTCATTTCCAAATCTGCAGGAAACACCTTCCTTGGCAGCATTGTGGGATACCCAGAGAATTCCTCAGGAAATCAGGCAGAGAAATCCTTAGGAGGGGGTGGCTCTTGCCTATCCCACCTCACTCTCCTCAGTCACCGCAGCGCAGCTGGGAGAGGGGGCTGGCACTCAGCATGTGCCTAACTCTGGAAAAAGGGAATGGGGAGGAGAGAAATTCCAAGAGATTCCAGGCTCAGGGAGTCCCGTGTCTTCCAGCAAGAGATGCAGCGGTACCGGGAGGTGTGTTACTACATGCTCTTCGCCTTGGCAGCCTATGGATGGCCCATTTACCTCATGAGGAAGCCCACATGTGGACTCTGCCGCCTGGCCAGATCCTGCTCGTGAGTGCCCACTCCCATCCCTTTTTCCTGCCTGGTTTTCCCACATTTAGAAAATGGTTTTTTCCCCACATTTATCCCCTTGGTGCTTCGTCCCCGCTCGATTTCTTTTCTGCCCTTTTTCTCCTCATGTTTTTCCATGTCTCCAGGCTTCGTATTCCAAAGGCTTTCTGAATCTCTTCCAGTTCCTCATACAGCCTGTCCTCTGCTCCATCCTCTCTGGAACACCCAGTGGAGAGATCTCACCTGGCACAACACCAATTCCATAAAGAGCTTCTTGGAGCTCAAAAATCAGGGAGTTGACACTTGGGTCCTAATTAAAAGACCTCCAAGATTTGCCTGGCTTGGGCTGTTCTCCCTTGGATTAATTGGATTTTTCCAGCTCGGGATTTTTGCTCCAGTGCAAGGGTTTGTTTCCAGCTGCCAGAATTCTGTCACTGGATTCAATTTGGAGACAAGCTTTTGGCACTTCCTGGGCTGTTGGGAGGAATGTGATTCCTTGGGAATACTTTTATTTGTGAGAGACAAAGAAGGAAAATCAATTGTGCTTCTCATTTTATTTTGGGATGATTCTAAACCCTTTTTCTTCCCTATAAATAAACCTGGAGCTCGGTCAGTGTTGGCTTTTTCATGTTGAAGCACTGGAAAACTGTGCTTCCTTGGATAGTATCCTTTGAGGAGCCATCCCACCCCACCATCCTTGCATTCCTCAGGGACTGGCTGCATTGTAGCTCTCTCTGGTGCTCAGAAGGAAAACTGCACCTGATCCCAGATTTCGAGGCTGTTTTGTGGTTTTATCCTTTACTTGGCACTCGCTGCCATTGGGATGAGGTCTGGAGGGCTCGCCTTTCCATTTCCTCTAGGAATGCCACTCTAAATCCAGCCTTTTTGCCTCAAAGCCGTGCTTCCTCTCCCCAGATGTTGCTGCCTGTGCCCGTCACGTCCGCGCTACGCTCCTGGCGTCACCATCGAGGAGGACAATTGCTGCGGCTGCAACGCCATTGCCATCCGGCGCCACTTCCTGGACGAGAACATGACCTCCGTGGACATCGTCTACACTTCCTGCCACGATGCCGTAAGGACAATCCCAGACCCCTTTCCCAATGGGATTTATCCACTTCCAGCTGTTGTGGGACAAAGAAGGGAAACAAAGCCCTTTTCTCTCCCATTTCCATCAAGAAATTCTGTTATTTGGACACAAATCCTGTCACATGCTCTCCCTCCTTTTCCCTGGGGATAATCCAATGGGAATGTCTCTCCTGGTCTTTTCCAGGTTTATGAAACCCCTTTCTATGTGGCTGTGGACCATGACAAGAAGAAGGTGGTCATCAGCATCCGGGGAACTCTGTCCCCAAAAGTAAGTGGGATATGTGGTGGCCTCCCTGGTGGACATTCCAGAGAGCTTGAGCCCTTCCTGGTTTGGAATCCTGACCCGGATTCGACTCACCTGAAGCAAGGTGACTGCTTTTCTTCCAGGATGCCCTGACGGATCTAACAGGGGACGCGGAGCGCCTGCCGGTTGAGGGGCACCACGGAACGTGGTTGGGACACAAGGTGGGAAAACAAAGGGAAAACGATTCCAAACCAACCCAAAACCAAACAAAATCCTGTGGTTTTGTCTAATGATTTCACTTTTTAATTATAAACCCCCAAACGGTCTTAATTACTTGAAAAAGGAGTTACAGGAAGGGCTTTGAGGTGTTAAATAATTAGTGGGAACAGTTAAAACCGCTGGGCGTGTAATTAAAAACTCGGTACAATTAGAGGGTTCCGAATGCGGAGAGGCACGGTGGAGACCCACAATGAAATTCCTGGAGCCACTCAAACGACTTTTTCTTCCGACGACCTTTAAGGAATTTTCAATCAAAGCCTGAGAATGTGCTTAAAATTCTGCTGTGATGGGAATGTCCTCAAAGGATACTGGCAGGACTCGGATCCGTGAAATTAGATGGATGCTCTGTCTGTGAGCAGCTCTGGGCTGGCTAAATCCATTTATTCCAGAGCTGACCTTTGCCCCTGTCTGGCAAAGGAAAAACGTGCCAAGTTTTTAAGATGATCAGGAATTTGGCAGCTTCCAAAGCTGCAGTGCTAGGCTGGAAAAGGAAAATCCAGAGTGAAGGTTGGAAGGAATGGAGCAGTTGCTGGGAGTGCTGCTGGAGGGGGATGAGGTGTTGCTCCAGGTGGGATGTGGAGCTTGGAGGTCCTTGGAAGCCATGAGTTGGGAACTTCAGCTTGCTTCATGGTGTCCTGGTGGAATACCAAACCTCTTCCCTCTGCTTTAGGAATCCTGGGATGGTTTGGATGGAACCAAAGATCCTGTTTCAACCCCTGCCACGGGCTGGGACACCTTGGAGGATGGATCTTGGAGTAGCCAAGCGGATTAGTGGGAAGTGTCCCTGCTCATGGGACTGGAATGGGCTTTTAGGTTCCTTCCAGTCCAAACCATTCCAAAATTCCACAATTCAGTGAAAATCCAGGAATAGATCCTTGCAGAAATTGGCTTTGTTTTTGATCTTTATATGAAAATATTCCTCCACTGGTGACTTCCATGAAACATTATCAGTTTATTCCCTTTATTCCAGACAGAGCGTTTGTCCTCTGTGTTATTTCTTTTTTGGGATTGCTGCCAGGAGACAGATATTCACTTTCTCTGGAATTATTATCAATATTAATCTGCAGACAATAATGTGCTGTTGATTCCTGAGGGAAAACTAAGGGAGATAATGGAATTTTAAATGCATTTTTAATGTCCAGGAGTCAAGTTTAATATCCAAACAAATCCAGTGTCTCACTTACACATTTAATTTGGAAACAAGGACTTGGCTACGTGGGAGCTTTCCCAGGATTTGTTTGATTTGGGGTGTTTTCCTGCTGATTCTGTCCCACCCATCCCTGTGGGTGTCCATCAGCCATCCTAAAATTCCAAGTCTTGATGTTTACATGAAATTTGTTATCACTCCACAGCTCCAATGTCACAATTGAAAAAATATTTGTCAGGGCTCTGAGCTATTCTGGATCAAAAAATAAAGCTGGAACTAAAGTTTGGGGATTAGAATGCCAAAAAAAAAAAAAAGGGATTATAACTCAAAGAAGAATCCAACTTCACTATTTTTGTTATAAAATCCGCTGATTTTATAACAAAGTCAATTTGAAAAATAATCCTCAGCCAAAGGGATGAATCCAGATTTAATTGTTGAACTCCCAGGACAAAATGAGTGAAAATAGGATGTTATGGAGCTTTGCTTCCTGGTGTTAAGCCAACCAGGAGGACAACAAGGAGCTGCTGGAAAGTCCTGGAAACTCAGCCATGATACCAGGTTGGTGGAATATCCAGTAATGAGAATTTCCAACATTTTTCTCTCATAAATAGACCCTTCTGAGGGTTTTCCCCCAAAATCTCCAATATCCCAGAGCAGTTTTGTGCCTTTGGGATGCAAAATAGTGCAGAATATTTCCATTCCCTTTCCCTAAATCCTTGGTCCATTTGGTTATTTATGTGTGAACTTCCAAAATTAAACCCAAATAGTTTTATTAACTTGAAATTGGGTTTGTTTCCCAGAGAATTTACGGATGCTACATCCCTGGAAGAGTCCAAGACCAGGTTGGACAGGGCTTGGAGCAACCTGGGCTAATGGAACATGTCCCTGTCCCTGGAATGGGATGATCCTTAAGGTCCCTTTCAACCCAAACCAAGATTCCATGAAGTTTAGGGAATTTTTCCAATGGAAAATCTAAATGGAAGTTTGCAGTCTCATTCCATAATAATTAAAACCCTGTCTCCATTAGGATATAATTACCAAAATCATGTCCCAAAGGCTGACTAACATCCCAGCAGTGACATCACCGTGGATTTGGGTCACGCTCTCTAAAAATAGAATCCCAAATTCGCGGTGGGAATTTAGATCAGTGGCCAGCCTGCTGCTCACTTCTCATTAGGATTGGGAATGGAGACTCTTCTGGAAGCTGGGGAGCTGCTGGGAGCTGGGATAAGGCACAACCACGCTGGTGCTTTTTGGTGGTGGCAGCATCCCATCAATCTCATTTCCATGGAGTAGGGTCTCCGCTGTCCTGCTTCCCCTCTCCAGTATCCAGATTGGCATCAAAGACATTTTGGATACTGAGGACCTGGAAAATTCCGTATTTATTTGCTTTCTTTTCCTCACTGGCTTCTCTTATGCCCCTCTTTGAAATAATCCAAGAAATTCCATAAGAATGGAATAAAATTTGATCTCTGGAGGCTTGATGAGGTGATATTGATGCAGGAGAGTCAGCACTGTTACTCCTGATGTCTCCCTGATTTAGATTTATCCCTGATTTAGATTTCTCCCTGATTTAGATTTTCCTGCCCAGTTTCTGCCCCCTCATTTTCCCCCAGCCATTTTCCCCCTCAGCTCTTCCTCTGATTCACCTCTGGTTTCTCCCTGATGTTTCCCTGATTTTCCCCTCTGGTTATCCTGCCATGTTTAACTCCAACCCCCAATCCATCTCTCCAGGATAATTTAGGTTTTATATATTATTATTTATATATTTTTTCTTTGGTTTTGGAGCCAGGAATCCCTTTATATCTCCAGCATGGAGAGTGAGTCCCCAGTAACATTCCCATTGTACTTACACCATTTCAAGACAGGGATTTAAAGGAAAACAGCCAAGGAGATGATTTCCCCCATTTTCCCCCCATTTTTTGGAGTTCAGGCTCACTTCCCACTGAATTTAACTTGTAGCATCATCAGGAATTTATGCAACAAACCAAATTCCAGTTGCATGTTTATAACTGCACTTGGAATTGGATCAACTACATTTGGAATCACCACACAGAGAAACACTTCTCAGCAGAGAAGAGGATTGTTTAGACTCAGATATGATCTTTCCCATCTTCCAGCACTCCTTGACTTCTAGGGAATAAAAACCTTTAATAATTTGGGATGAATGTCCTCTGAGAGCCAAATTCCCTTAATGTTGATGGCTGGAAAAGGCAGGAACTAGTTCCTAATTGCTGCCACTTTTTCCTTTGGTGTTTGTGTTATTATCTCTGTTAGAATAAGTAATATTTTTATTCCCACATTTATATGGAAAACTTCTTCCCACATTTACCTGGAATAGGATAATTTGGCTTTAAAACCACCAATATTTAGAATATCCAAGTCTGCTTCTGTGTTCTGCCCCAGGTCCCAGGGTCTGAAGTACCAAATCCACAATCCTAGGTTTAATTTAATTAGATTTGGGGTAGTTTTCCCTCTAAAAGCCCTGGAATAAGCCCTTGGAGTGTTCCTTAATTAAGAGCTGCCATTACTCCTTAAACACCAAAACTTTGGAAATGCAGAGGAGAGTCAGTTTTCCCTCCCTCCTCATCCATGCTGAGGGGCATTCCAGAACTTCCTCACCTTCTGGCTGCTGGATGTTGAGATCCCATTTACATCCTGCTGTGTCTTCCCACTTCCCACAGGGAATGGTGCTGTCTGCTGAGTACATCAAGAAGAAGCTGGAGCAGGAGATGGTGCTGTCCCAAGCTTTTGGACGAGATTTGGTGAGTACGAGTTGTCTCTGGACAGAGGATGAGATTTCCATAGAAAACTGGGTTTTAAGGGAATCTGTGTCCCTGAGTCTGTTGCATTCATTTCTCAACTCTTCCTTTAATTCCTGTCCCTCTGGATTTCCAGCTAGTTACTCATTCGTGGAATGGTTTGGGTTGGAAGGCACCTTGAATTGCATCCCATTCCACCCCCTGCCACGGGCAGAGAACATTCCACAAGATCAGGTCTCTCCAAGCCCCATCCAGACTTCCTGCAAGGCTTTTTTATTTTGGAAGCACCAGTACTGCAGAGCTCCTGATTATTTTCCTTTTCCTGAGGCAAGAAGTCCCACGTGGTGGCAATGAAGGACAGGGAGCATTAAAACTAAATCAGCAGGAACTAAAATCCCATTTTTATGGAGAGTTTCTCTGGAATGCCATGCTGACTCTCCCTGTGGGCACATTCCTGGTGGCAGGGAGATGTCACAGGACTCAAGGGAGATGTTGGGAAGCAGCTTACCTTGGTTTGTATGATGGGAATAGTTGTTGAAGTGCTGCCTTGGGATATTTGGTGGATGGAGGGAGAGATAAACCAGCATCCAGCGTTTTGGGATGGAGCTTCGTTCCTCTCTGCCTAGAAAGGGAAAATGGGAGTTGTTCCTGTTAGGAGGAATTTTTCCTGGCTTTAGGTCCATAAGTCCCATCCCAGGTCCCACTAGCTGAGGACCTTGTTTCTGACAGCTGCCAAGGACAGGTATTCCAGAGAAAAGTATCCAGTGAGGTGTAGAGACACTGTGTGGGCTTGGGTGTTATCAGGAGGGGCAAAAGGCTCCCATCAAATCCTAAATAATTGAAACAGCTGGTGTGCCTTTCCTTTTTCTTCCCACCTTCTTTCTTTCTTTCAGGGAAGTCCCAGTAGGCCAAATGTAGAATTCTAGAAGTGAATGAATTCCAGCCTCCAGTGAGGCCATGGCACAGGTTTCCCAGAAAAGCTGTGTCTGACCCGTCCCTTGAAGTGTTCCAGCATGGGCTGGATGGGGCTTGGAGCAACCTGGGCTAGTGAAAGGTGTCCCTGCCCATGGCAGGGGTGGAATGGAATGATCTCTCCCTTCCTTTCCAGCCTAAACCATTCCAGGATTCCGTGATGATTCCATGATTCAGAGCAAGCAAGGAGAGCCATTCAGCTGGAATCTGGAGTGCTCTTGTATAGAAACAGGCTCCAAAACTGGGGAGAGAGATTTGGGGGATACATTCAATTTAATTTCCAGCCTGAGCTGGATTCCTTGTTGCTTCCATGTTTTTTAGGGAAGAGGAACAAAACACTATGGCCTGATTGTGGTTGGGCATTCCCTAGGAGCTGGCACAGCTGCCATCCTGTCCTTCCTGCTGCGTCCCCAGTACCCATCCCTGAAGTGCTTTGCCTATTCCCCCCCAGGTGGGCTGCTCAGGTAGGTGTTGGGATACACTGGATCCTGTTTGTGGGGCTCTAGGGAGCAGTGAAATGGACAGGCAGCCTGGAGAAGCTGAGTGTTCCCTCTGGGATATAGTTTGGAATTCAAGTTAGGATGGCAGATGGCTGCTTTCCGAAATATTCTGGTTTATAACTGAATTATCCGTGGCTCTAATTTTAATGGAAAATAGGTGCAATTTCCTTACTCTGTGCCCAGTCCCACTAGTAAAGGAGCTACTTGACCAAATGCAGGTGTCTGCAGCAGCTGATCCTGTTGTTTGGACTCCTTTTCCAAAGAAACTGGAGTTGGGATGTGATTTCTGTCATTCTGCAGCCTAAAATGGGGTCACAGGGATTGTTCTGGTTTCTCTCCCTTGGCCATGGGGCAAAACCAGGGAGAGATTAATCGTGAATCCCTCCCATTATAAATGGGCACAGACCTTCTGGTCATGTCATTCCCAAACAAAACATCCCATTGGAGTGCTGGGAGGTGAGGGAAGGCCTTCCTAGTTGTGACAGGCACCATGGGGATCCTTGGAATCAGCTATGGATTGTGGGAAGCTTCTCATGGTAGTTCCTACATCATATTCCAGGAGCAGCCAAGGGTTTTAAACCATCCTGCTGCTGGATCTGGATGCTGGTATTCCTTGTAGTGTTCCCATGTCTTCTGCAGCCATGGAGCTGCAGAGGAAGATATTTCAGGAGAGTTGTACAACCTTTTGCTCCAAACTTCCACTCCTGGATCCCTTGGTAGCTCCTGACTTGTGTCATGCCCAGGATCATCCCTAGGTCAGTGAGGCAGCCTCTGCCCATGGTAACTGGTTGGGAATATCTCCAGGAAACTCAGAGTGGGAATCTTGATTTCTTTCTTCTTGTCTTGGAAGTCAGGTTGATTGCAGAAATCTGCCATCCGAATTCTCCCAGATATTGGGGTATTTCATCCTACACTGTAGCCTCAGGAGCACAGAATATCTTCTTCCTTGGCCGTCCTGCCATTCCCAAACAATTGGAAAATGACTGAGGCATTGAGTTCAAGCGTTTCCTTTCCCAGCTATATCCAGAGTCATGTGCAGGGGAATGGTTGGGCCGTGGGATGTGGAGACCAGGCTCTTTTTCCACAAGGCGCAAATCCCCAAAGCCTGGAGCAGTTTGGATTTGGGTTTGTGCCCCTGGTTTCCCTGCCACCGAACTGGGAATGAAACACTGTTTGCTTCTTCTTGCTCCTGTTTCTCTTCCAGTGAGGATGCCATGGAGTATTCCAAGGAGTTTGTGACTGCAGTAGTGCTTGGCAAAGATCTGGTGCCCAGGCAAGTGGAGAAGTGTCTGAATTCCTTGATGAATCTCTGCTGTTCTGTCCCAAATCCTGTCTGAAGTGTTTCCTGTCTGAAACACTTGGATCATCTCTGTCTCCAGCTTCCTTATTTTCCTGTCCTTGTATTGTTCCCTGTTTATCTTCCTGATTCACTGTGTTTTTCCTGGACACCTCTGTTGGGTTTTTTTTATGAGCACATCCCTCCTGTGTGAAAGAAAAGGAGGAATGTCCTACCTCTGGAATCCTTCCTTGTGGTACTTGGAATATCAGGTGTGCCACCTTCCTGGTTTCCTGTGTTATCTTGGCTGTGTCCTGGATGTGCTGTCACCTGATTTGGGGACCTGATTTGGGGACTGATTTGGGACCAGTTTGTCCCAAAATCCCTGTTCCATGTCGCCTCATCTCCAAACCAGTTCATTCCTTGTGCCTTGGCATTCCTCACCTTCCTCATCTCCGGGCATACGTTCTGCTGAGCAGGGATTTGGAGCAGGAGCCAGGCAACCTGGGATTTACCTGGATGCCATGATCCTGTCCATCCTGTCATCTGCTCAGTGGTGTCATTCAGCTCCAGGACACTTTTCCAACTCCCCTGTTCTCTGCCATCTTCTGTTGTCACCTCCCTCCTTCCCTGTTCACTGATCTTACCCTGGTTATTGTCCCGGTAATTCCCTGGAGCCTCTCACTCCTGGCTCCTGCTCCTGGGTGATGCCACAGCCCACCTCTGCATCCATCTGCTCCATTTTGTGTCCTTTTAAACACACTGCCTTGTTTTTCCGTGCTCTGTATCCTCGACCTGTTCCCTGCCCAGGTGTTGTGAACACGTTTCCCCCTCTTCCATAACCCATTATTTTCTTCTTTACCAGACTCACTTCTTCAGAATCACATCTCCATCTCTTCCAGAATCATGTCTTCCTTTTTTCCATAACCACACCTTCTTTTCCAGAGTAACATCTTCCTCTTTTCCATGATCACATCTTCCTCTCTTCCAGGATCGGGCTCTCTCAGCTGGAGGGATTTCGCCGGCAGCTTCTGGATGTTCTCCAAAGAAGCACCAAACCAAAGGTAAGAGAGAAGAACCAACACCTGGAGACATCTCTGAGCAGGGATGGGAAATTTTAGTGACAGGAAGGGTGGGTTTCCTCCAGGTTTCCTCAGGATCATTATTTAGAGAACCAGAGGAATGATAGAAAGAGCTGGAGAGCTCAGTGAGATCATTCCAGCTCACTTGCTGAAACTTCACCATCACAGATCCCAAATAACCAAGCAGGGAATTTTCTGTCTGAGCCTCTTTTAAAGTCTGTATTCCAAATGTGGCTTTTCCTGGCCAGTTAAAACTGGGAACAGGCTGGAAGTACAGCAGCTACTGTGCTTGTTGGAACATTGGGGTGATGGTGTTCCAGGATAAATGGTCTGCTCATTTCTTGGAGATAGGAAATGTGGGAAGTTGTCCCTCCCCAGTCTTTACCATTGCACCAAGATAGAAAAAACCATAAAATACGAAGATTTTTAGGGATAATACATGATGGAATTTACCTGGAGAAGGTATATAACTGGGAAAGGAAAATCAACTTTCAGAAATGCTTGGATCATCTCTGTCTCCAGCTTCCCGGTTTTCCTGTCTTTGTATTGTTCCTTATTTATTCCCAGTGTCACTGTGTTTTACCTGGAGACCTCTGTTGGTGTTTCACTCATCTTCCTTAGGCCAATCCCTTCTGTGTGAAAGAAATAGAGAATATCCTGCCTCTGGAATTCTTTAAACCTCTCAAGTCTTATGAGGCAATTGTGCTTTTCTTTTCTTTCCTCAAATCCTCCCTTCTCTCTCTCTCTCTCTCTCTCTCTCTTTGTGGGAACAGTGGCGGATCATTGTGGGGGCTACCAAGTGCATTCCCAAATCCGAGCTCCCCGAGGAGCCAGAGGAGAACTCGGTGACGAGCAACCGGCTCTGGACACATCCCAGTGACCTGACCATCGCCCTGAGTGCCAGCACCCCCCTGTACCCCCCCGGCCGCATCATCCACGTGGTGCACAACCACCCTGCCGAGCAGTGCTGGTGAGTCTTGCAATTCCTGCCGGGACTCCTGATGGAAAACTCTCCCTGACACAAGGAGAAGGGGGTTTTTTCTTCCCCACCCACCGTCTGACGGTGACAGTAGTTGTGCCTGTGCTGGTGGAGTTGTGGAATGGTTTGGGTTGGAAGGGACTGTGGAGATCCATGGGCAGGGATGCCTTCCACCACAGCAGGTTGCTCCAAGCCCAGTCCAGCCTGGATTTAAACACTTGCAGGGATGGGGCAGCCACAGCTTCCCTTGGAAATCCATCCCAATTTTCCAGTCTTACCACCCTCACAGGGAAGAGTTTCTTTCAATATCTAACCTAAACCAGCACATGGAATGCTGGAATGGTTCAGGTTGGAAGGGACTTAGGATCACCCCTTTCTACCCCCTGCCATGGGCAGGGACATCTTCCACTATCCCAGGTTGCTCCAAGCCCATCCAACCTGGCCTGGAACACTTCCAGGGATGGGGCAGCCACAGCTTCTCTGGACAACCTTTGCCAGGGCCTCAGCACCCTCATGGGGGGAATTTTTTTCCCAATATCCCACCTAAACGCACCCTCTTTCAGCTTAAACCCGCTCCTCCTTTTCCCATTATTCCAGGCCCTTGTCCAAAGTCTTTTTCCTCTTTAAATGATGATTGGATAATCACGTCCCTGTTGGATAATGCAGGATTTTTGGAGCAATATGTATTTTAACAGCTCCTCCTTCTGTTTTTCCTCTTTTTCTCCCTCTACATCTTGCTGTTTTCACATGCCAAAACACATCCCTGCTCTTCCATCTCATTTTCCCTGTTGTCTGGACCCCTTTTCCAGCTGCTGTGAGCAGGAGGATCCCACCTACTTTGCCATCTGGGGGGACAACAAGGCCTTCAACGAGGTGATCATCTCCCCAGCCATGCTGCATGAACACCTCCCCTACGTGGTCATGGAAGGGCTCAACAAGGTAAGGTAGGGAATTGCCATCCCAAAAAACACTGGGAAAGGCCAGCCTTGCCCGGGAATACTGCTGGTTAAATACACCAGGCCATTTATTTTGGAGAAGAGGAGGAAAGGGTCAGTCTTGCACAGGGTATTGGAGTGGAGTGTGGTGAGGTCTGGGAATGGAATTCCCGAAATCCCAGATGCTCCTCTTTCCAAATTTAATGTCAGGATAACATGAGGTCGGTGGTGATGGTTCATTCCAGGAGCTGCCATTAAACTGTAGCCCAGGTGACATCCAGGGATGTGTCAGGCTTTATCCATCTAATCCTCTATCTCCCTGTGCTTCCAGAAGGCTCTGGGAAGAAAGAGACCAATCCAGCTGTTTGAAAGCCTCCAGTCAATCCCTGCTGTTCCTCTGCTTTCCTTGGACAGGTCTTGGAGAACTACAACAAGGGGAAAACAGCTCTGCTTTCGGCAGCCAAAGTGATGGTGAGTCCTACGGAAGTGGATCTCACCCCGGAGCTGATATTCCAGAGCCAGCCCTTGCCCAGCTGCCCCTCCGTGCAGATCGGAACTGGAGCCATCCCAGCGGACAGGAGGAACAGCAGCACCAAGTAAGGAGAGACTTCTCATGGAATAGTGGCTCCAGGTGTTGGGTCCTCTTCCTCTTGGGGCATTGTGATCCATGTCAGTGGAACAGATCCATGGGCTGCCTTTGTGGGAGTTAAAGCTTCAGGATTTCTTATGGAATGTCGGGGGGAAAAATCCCGTGTGTTGCTGAGGAATTTGAGTGCAGCAAGGTCAGGAAAAGGTATGGAAGAAACTTCCTTTTTTCTCTTTATCCAGACAAATGGGGTTTTCCCAAGGTAAAACTTGGAGCCAAATTTGGTTTGGGTTGGAAGGAATTTAAGGATCACCCAGTTCCAGCCAATGCCATGGCCAGGGACACCTTCCACCAGCCCAGGTTGCTCCAAGCCCCATCCAACCTGGAAGGAATCAGGGATAGTCCACAGCCTCTCTGGGCAGGGCAGGATTTAGTGAGCCAGGAAAAAAGAGCAAGAACTGGAGTCTGCAGAGGGAGAATCCATTTGTAATATTTCCAGCTGGGAGGACGGAGTGAGAAGGCTGTGGATGCCTCTGGTTGGAGGAACTGTGTGAGGAACCCTTGGATCCTCTGGCTGTCCTGGGATTCTGCAGCCTCATGTTCTCTGTTTCCCGTTGCAGGAGCAAATCCCATTCGGAAATCAGCCTGGAGGGATTCTACGAGACGAAGCCGCTTTCTCCCGTGCAGAAGGACCCCGTGGAGCTGCTTCTCCTGGACACTAAGGAACGTCTCTCCGTGGAGCTCCAGGACCGCCGCGCTCCTCTGGCCACCATGGAGAGCCTCTCGGACAACGAATCCATCTACAGCTTTGATTCCCGGCGCTCCTCCGGTTTCCGGAGCATCCGGGGCTCCCCCAGCCTCCATGCGGTCATGGAGAAGGACGAGACGCACTGCTTTTATATTGACCCCGTTATCCCTGAGGAAAACCCTTCCCTCAGCTCCCGGACAGAGCTGCTGGCTGCTGACAGCCTCTCCAAGCATTCCCAGGAGACGCAGCCCCCAGAAAACGTCCTCAACAGCGGCGGCACCACCCCCCAGCGCCGCTGCAGCGCCGAGGGCACCGGCAGCGACGGGGAGCACGTGTCCTCATCCCCTCGGGAAGAGCCGGCGCTCCACAATGGCCGCCTGGCTGACGTTCCCAGTCCCCAGGTGCTGGAATTCGCCGAGTTCATCGACAGCCTCTTCAACCTGGACAGCAAAAGCAGCTCCTTTCAGGACATTTACTGCATGATGGTGTCGGACAGCTCCAGCGACTTTGCGGAGATTCCCAAATCCGTCAGCGACCAGGAGATCCTGCTGAGGGCGCAGTACGAGCCTAACTTAGTCCCAAAGCCCCCGAGGTTGTTTGCGGGCTCGACGGATCCTTCGTCGGGAATCTCCGTGTCGCCTTCTTTCCCCCTTAGTTCATCCGGAGAACTCATGGATATCACTCCCACGGGTGTGAGCAGCCAGGAATGCCTGGCCACGGACAAAATCCGGACTTCCACCCCCTCCGGACATGTAACCAGCCCTGCCAAGCAGGACGATCTCATGATTTCAGCCCTTTAGTGCAGGGGAAAAGGGGTGGAATGATCCCAGTGGGATAATCCATGGAGGAGGCTGTCATCGGGCAGTTGGGATCAGAGGAGACAGCTGGAAAAATCCTTTCTGGGGTGACACAGTGGTGGTGTCTGGAGGATGGATTGTGCTGGAATCCTGTGCTTGGAGCTGGGAGAAGCTTTGCCCCACGGGGCCTGAGAGGGTCTGAGGCACTAAAGTTCCCTACCTCAGCCTGTCTCATTCCAGAGGCAGATTCCTTGCCCTGGGGCACCTGCTGAGTTTGGGAGTGAGATACCTGGATAGATGGAAGCAGGAGGGGGCCGGGCCAGATCCCTCCCGTCGGGACTGAGCCGGTGGTGTGGGAAATGAGCGGATTGAGACTTTGGGCCCTGTTGCACTACCATGGATCCGGCCCAAGATCCAATTCGGCACACTTCCATGGGGATTGCTTTTGTAGGACACTCCTGTTTTAAAGCCATTGGGGCTGTATTCCCCGCAGATCCAGTCTCCCCTTCCCGCCAGGCACAGCAGGAATGGGGCTGGCACCATGGTTTCTCTCCCCTGAGCACTCCTGAGAGGGAAGGACGCTGTTCCCAAGAGCCCAATCCCTCTGCCACATCCCTCTTTTGGCAGAAGGTTCTCCTGGATATCACCCCCATCACTCCTCAGTTCCCTGGACCCCTCCGAGCTGGCGGCATTCCCGTGGGACTGCCAGGATTCTCATCTCAGAGCTGCATGGATATGGATGGATCAACTGCAAAATGCACCCAGCATTATTTTCCAGGCCCCTGTGGAGTCTGGGAGTTCCTCCTGGATCCCTGGGGGTCCTCACACCACCCATATGCAGCATCCACGGATCAGTGCCGGCCTCTGTCCTTGGGAATTCAGGGAAAAGATGGACTTTTTCCCAGTGTTGCAATCTCTTGTATGTTTACAGAGCTGCTGAGCTGGTTGGAAGGTATTTATTAAGGAAATAGGGAGGCTTTCCTGAAGGAAAACCCATGGTCATCCTCTCCTTCCCATGCTGTTTCCTGTGGGGACTGAGGGAAGAGAGGATGAGCAGGCAGAATTCCAAGCCCCCTGCTTCCCAGGTGGCTTGGATTCGGGGGTAACTGCCTGCCTCCTCTCCTTCCCTCTCCCCACCTGCACAATTCCATGTAGGAAAGCTTGAGCAAGTTGTTAGGAAAACTACCTGAGCCTCTGGGCCCAGAGGAGCCTGCTCTGCCTCTCCAGGCAGGTTTTCCAATGATGGGAGCAGGAGGAAAACTACCTATCCTAGGAAATGAAACATTCTTGGGACCTGGAAAAGGCCTTGAATTGCCACAACTCCCCCTCAAAGCTCAGCAGTTACTGATGGCTCTCCCCGGAGCTCCATCCTCCCTCCCTGGAAAAGAAATTCCTGGTTTAACTTCCTTAGAATCCTGTGGTTGCTCCCTTTTCCCCTCCTTAGCAGTGCTGTTTCCATTGTGGGAGGACGCTGTGCTTTCCAGGAGCTCAGCTCCTGGCAAATCCCAGGTTTCCTGTTGTCCATGTGGACTCCAGAAGCCCCGGGATGGGTCAGAGCTGCGCTTCCCGGGAGCCAGTGTGATCCGATGCCATCGAGGAGCACTTTATAGCCGGTGTGCATTGATGGAAATAACCAGCGTGGGATGCTCCAGCCCCTGCTCCTTAGCCGTTTCAGAGCCTTCAGAAGTGCTTCAAGTGGCCAGGAAAACATTATCCTTGTGGTTTAAGGTTCCAAAAGTGACCTTTCCCTGAGTGGAGTCAGAGGGAATCTAGAGGAGTCCCTCTACATTCAGAGGGATTTGGAGAAGGAAAAATCCTTTTATTCTGAGCAACCAGAAGTTCTTTCTGTTTTTGTAGATCCTTAAAAAAAATAGCAGGGAGCAGGCACAGCACAGGGTAGGGAGGAATTCCTGCACTCAGGAAACACTACCGAGGTGATTTTTCAGGAATACGCACAAAAATCTGGGAAGATTTGAGGGGAAAAGGGGAGCTGAGAGGCAGGGAGGCCGGGGCTAGCGGGCTAGCTCCCCTCCTGGCCCAGGAGTCGGGATAAGGAGCTCATTCCTGCCCTTCCTCCTGGCAGGAATTAACCCTTAGCACTAAGGCAGAACTTGGGATCTGCAAAGCACTTTAAAACCCTAAGGAAAGGGATCATCTCTGTCCCTGGGAGCGACATGAGTACCTGGGATTAGATGGAACTACTGGTGGGAGGTGCCTCCAGGTGAGGAAAAGTGGGATATCTCCCTCCTGAAATGTGGGAACCTGCTGATGTTCCATGGCTCGAATGTTGCACTAGAAAGTCCCTTCCCTGACGTTCCTCTGCCGTGTCCTGGAAGACCCAATCCTTGGGTGACTCCTTCCTTCTCTGTGCCATTGGAACTGTATCCCATGGGAATGGCTTACCCTTGCCCTGACAGGAAGCAGTCTGGAATGCTGCATTTTTTTAGCTCTGTGATTACTGGACTTTGGAAAAGCCTGGAAATACATAATTCCCGGGAGCTGGGCTTGCCACAGGTCAAGGAGTAAAGGCACAAAAGAGCCCCTCGAAGGTTTTCATTGTATCCCATCATGGATAATTCCTGTTTTTTGTTGACAAACTGATCTGATCCCAGTCCTCTCAAATGAAATCCACATTCTTTGAATTATTTCTGCTTTAAATGTCTCTGTGTCTTGATCCCAATCACTGTGTCTTGATCCCCAGCATTCCATGTCTCCATTCCCATCACTTCTTTGCTATCTGGGCATTTGGAAAGGCTGATCTCCCATTTCCTCCTGGAAAAGCACACCTGGAATGCTGAAATAAATGTTAAAGCTGCAGCTACCTCCTTCATCTGTACTGTACAAACTTCCTGCTTTCTCTTCCCTCTCTGTCTTTGGGAATATGAAGCATCTCCAGTTTTCCAAATCTCTTGTCTTCTGCTTCTTCCTCTTCAGCTTTGTGCCTTCGGATCTTCGGATATTCCCATGATATTCCAACAGGATGTTCCAGCCAGTACCTGACAGGCTGGAAGCGCCTGACACCGCAGACCCCAGACTGGCCAACAGGTCACCCATTCCATGCCTCATCCTTAAAATCCATTCTGATCCTTCTTCCTTGGACTGAGTGACCTTTAAAGGTCCTTTCCAACACAAACTGTTCCAAGGGTTTCTTGGCAGAGGAATGGAGCTGAGGCTCTTCTGCACCAGTAAATTGATTTTATTGTTGCTTTCGTTGCAGCAGTGCCAAAAATTCGGGAAGGACCCTGCAGTGATGAGGATATACTGGCGCTTTCCCAATATTTATCATTATTCCTTCTCCTTCAGGGCTGCCTTCTTCAACTGGAATATTCATTTCCTCCTAAAACGTCCCTCTTTTCTTTGCTCCCTATTCCTCTCACCTATTTCAGGAGGCACCTTATCCCTCTCTTCTCTCAGGGTGCTGATGGTTCATTCCACATCCTTAGTAGCACATGGGAAAACTATTCCAAAGCAGTTAAATGGGATTCTTGGAACTTTTTAAGAACTTTTTTTCCAAAGCAAACAGGATTTGTAGGAGGTATTTTGGTCTCTGCAGAGGGCTGGGGTAGCAGAGGGTGGTGTGGGTATGGAATTCCAGTGATTCCCAGTTCTGTTCTTTTAGGATGTTAGATTCCAGGAATAGTTGATGGTCCCAAGCAGGACTGAAGTGGGAAATGTGTTTCCAAAGGCATGTAAGAAGGAGGAAAAGCTCCAAGCGTGGGGATACGGGGTCTGTATCTAGCACATTCTCCATGCACTTTGATGTTTTCCCAGCTTTTGCTGCTCTTTTCCTGCAGGCAGATAATATTATTTCCATAGAATCGCCCACACAGCTTTCATTTACAAATTGGGACATAGGAATAATCAGGATTACCCCTGGCAATGGGAATTAGGTGGGATTAATTATTGCTGGAATGGGTGTGTTTGATTGGATTTGTGTTTTGGGGCTATATCCAAGAATCTTCATTGAATTTCCATGGGCAGCAGAGTCCTTCTGTGTTTGCCTTGGGAATTGCTGGGCTGGAGCTCCCCTCCATGCTGGGTTTATCCTTATCCATTCTGGGATATCTTTCCCCTGGCAGTAGGACATTCTGGCTTTGCAGGATGGGAGCAGGAATATTTAATTCCCATGGGTTTAGGGATAGTGGTTGTAACTGCAGCCTTTGAGGAACTTCCAAACGTTGCCCAGAGAGGTGTGGATTCCTCATTCCTGGAAATATTTCAGGCCAGGTTGGATAAGGCTTGGAACAATCTAGGGTAGGGAAAGATGTCCCTGCCCATGGCAGCAGGTGGGAGCTTCCAAATGATTCTGGAATTCTGTGATTCCTTGCTTGCAGTATTACGGTGGTGCAGGAGAGGGAAGGTTGGAATTCCAGCAGCACCTCTGCATGGATTGCTCTGCTGAGAAGTTCCTCTGAAGGAAGCAGTTGGAAAGCACTGCCTGGAATTGGGCTCGTTGCTTTGTTCCCAGAGCCTGTGCAGTGCTGATTTTTGGGAAGAGCCTCATTTCTTGTGCCAAAGCTCCCTCTCATGGCTCCTGCATGGAGGAAGCAATGCTGCGTGGATCCTGCTGGAGGCAAACACTGCCCATCTTTGGCAGCTGGGGGAAGAAGGAGAGGAGGGAATATCGCAGCTGGAAGCAGGGATCCAGTCTGGGAGTCCTCTCCAGTCAGATCCATAGGGGAGTTAGGGATTGAGAAGGGATGGGAAGGGGGCTGGATCAGCAGTCACTGATGTCCTTTCCCTTCTTCCAGCTCCAAGGAGCTGCTTAAGGGCTGGAAATTCCAAACATCCATGGATTAAGGCAACTCCTTGCTTTGTCATAGGGAATTATCATCAGCCTCTGAGTGCTTTGCCATCTCCATTCCCATTGTTTTTTCCATGTTTTTTGAGTTCATACCTGTTGTGCCTTTGTTCTCCCTGGCTTCAGGTGCCAGATTTCTGTGATCAGACATTTCCCACCTTCCTTTCCCACTTCTCTGGGAGTATGGAAGTGTGGCCAAGGCCTGGTAGGAGCTGGCCTTGCTCCCGAGCTGTCTCCTGTTCTGCCTCAGTCAGGACTTCCCACATCTTCCCACTTTTCCCTGCTGCCTGAGGTCGTATCCAAGTGCCAAAAGCAAATCTTGACCTGAGGCAGGCGATTTCCTCCAACCCACACCGCGTTTCTCCCTGGCTCTGGAGGAGCCCCCTGCCAAAGGTAAGCTCCCCTGGGAATTTTTCCTGCTTTCCTTGTTGTGTCCAATCCCTCTGACATCATGTCACACCATGCTCCGTGTCCCGACTTTCCCACCTTCCCAGCACACCTGTGGGATGAGAGGAACATCTCCCGTCTTCACCTCTTGATTCCTGAAAATCCTTGCAGCACAGGAACAAGTCTTGACGTTGTTTTTTCTTTGGATTCCACTTCCCTGCTTCCCGTCCCGGGCTTTGTGCAGTTCCGATGGCTCCGAGTCGGAAGGCAGGGGTGGCACGGTCCTGTCCTGCCGGGATATCCAATTTTGGGAAGTTTGTGTGCAAAGGGATCCCGGCAGGGGTTTTTCCTAGGACACTGCCACACCCTTTGGGTCCTAAATCCTTTCCCGGGATGTCCCCAGCACTTGGTGGTGGCTGCAGCTCCAGCTTCCCACCTTTCCCTCCACAAATCCACTCTTGAGCTCCTGTCCTGGCTCTGAGCGGAATTCCTAATGGCACAGGGATATTTTGGGATGGGCTGTGCCTCCCTGTCTGGAATGTTGTGCCCTACAAGCCCCCTCCCTTTGGCTCTGCCTCACTGGAAAAACCCTTCCTGCCTGTCACCTGTGTCCCATCCCGTGCTGGGGCAGCTCAGAGCAGGATACCTCTGGATTAATTTCCTGCTGGATCTTAATTGCCTCCTTAGAGCTGAAGCCTTTGGCATTTTTGGGAGAACCAGCCCTTCCAGAGAGCTCTGAGGCACTCCCACTGCTTCTGGCAGGGCTTGGAGCACTTGGATATGCAACTGGGGGGGGAAAACAGCCCAGCATCCTGCGTCCCCATGCTCATCCCAGGAATGCTGCCCTCAGAATCCCTGCTCCGAGCTGCCCCAGCATGAAGATTCCGAGGAAACTCAAGCACTCCTCATGTGCCCTTCATTCTCCATGTGACTTATTTTGTACCTCTGTACAAAAGATCTGAACTAATCCCGCTGTAAAGAAAGATCCGGATGAATTATAACCTAATTCCAGAAACATGGATGTATATAAATTTTCTGTATATTCTATGGCACTCTGTATAAAATGGATGTTGGAAGCATGGCTGGAGTATGTGACTGTTCCCAAGGATGTCTTGGACATGGATGGTTGGGAGCTGCCTGAGGGTTTCTGCCTTAAAGGCCGGTGAGTGAGTTGGAGAGGTGGGAAGGACACCAGGAATTGGGTGTGCGGCTCTTGGGAAGGATCCAGGGAATCACTGAGGGTTGGCTGTTTCTTCTCCAGCTCTCTGCTCTGGATCTCAGCCTTTGGAGTGGGAAAACACTTGGAGGAACATCCAGAAGTTGTGGATTTGCCATCCCATGGTCAGGTTGGAGCAAGCTGGAAGTTGTCCTGGAAGTAGTGGAAGGTGTCCCTGCCCATGGCAGGGATGGAACTGGATCTTTAAGGTTCCTTCCCACCAAAACCATTCCAGGCTCCCATCCCTGGAATGGTTTGGGTGGGAAGGGACCTTAAAGATCCCTATCCCTTGAGATGAGTTCTAGGAATCTCTCCTTTTGTGGAGAAGAAAATTAAGGAAGGAACCGGATGCTTTGAGTTATTCCAAGTTAAATTCAACCTGTCCTATAAAAAGAAGGATTTTAGTGCAAACAGGGAATTTTTTGGGAGTGGATGGGAATGATGGGGATAGAAGAGGAGCATGTGTGCTCTCTATTGGATATTCCAGCCTGAATAGTGTGGAGATCTCCCCTTTGGATGAATATGAAAGTGCTGAGATCCTTCTGTGAGCTGGGTGAGTCCAAACTGGGATTTTCCCAGTGTCCCACAGGACACAGCTCTGGAGTTGTAAAGCAGAATCTCACTGCCTGAGAGCTGTTCCCAGCTGTATAATTCCACGTAATTCATATTCTGGAAAAGGGAAAAGATGCATTCATGGCTTACAGGGTCGGGGAATAAGGGCAAGAGAAGTCCTGGAGCTCACTGACCAGCCAGGAGAAATCCAGGGAGAAAAGGAATGCCTGGAAGTATGTAATCCTATTAATGGCTGCGTGGAATTGTTTTTATGGCTGCTCCTGAAGGGACTATCAGGGAATTAAGAGCTCAAAGGTGGCTGAACTACTGAGTTCCTATAAAAATGCCTATAAAAAGTGCTGGAATGTTGAAGTGCCTGATGCTTTGGGATGGTTTTGTGGGATTTTTGTCCCTACCCGGAGCTATATCAGCCTCATAAAAGGATATTGGCTCTTCTGGAAATCCTTCCTCTGCTGGGGAAGGAAAACATCCAACTCTGGCTGCTATCCTTGGATAAACACGGAATAATCCATGTTTAGGAGAGGCTGCTTTAATTCAGTTTTTAAGGATGAAAATATATGGATGTGGACACAGCAGGAATGGGGGATGC